AAACAAACAGTGCTGGCTGGCCCCGAGCGGGCCACCCAATGCTGGAGAGGGCAGCTCGCTGGCTCGATCTGGTGTTTATGCAAGATGAGCTGTGGTTAATGCTGCCGTGAGCCAAGTGCTGCTCGTAGTAAGGTGGAACACACATTCTGGATTGGTTTGTTTGTGTAAATCATTTGCTCCTGTCAGCATCAGGAGGTGTTACAATTTAAAGACACTGCCCTTTGAATTTTTATGAGATTATAGCAGCTTTCATATAATGTCGGTGTAGACTGTGTGGTGTCGTCCATGTCCTCCTTTGTGGTGGTGATGGGACTGATTGTGAGCAGTTAGACAAAAAAGTCTCATCAGGTCTGCTTACTTGGTAGCACTCCTGTACTTAGGTTTTGAGTATTTTGAGAAGGGCTGAATCTATACCTCCATCTATTTCGTAACCGCTTACCCTCTTGAGGGTCGTGGGGGGGCTGGAGTCTATCCCAGCTGACATTGGGCGAGAGGCAGGGTACACCCTGGGCCAGACTATCACAGGGCTGACACATAGAGACAGACAACCATTCACGCTCACATTCACACCTACGGACAATTTAGAGTCACCAATTAACCTGCATGTCTTTGGACTGTGGGACCCAGCTGGGGGTGACCGGTTGACATATAAATAAACTCAACATAACTGGACCAGAAAAGTCACAAAATGAAGTACAAATCAAGTTGAAGTTGGAAATCTTTTCGACCTGTAAATACACTCATTCTAAACTTTATGCCTATGACACGTTTACCAGCATCCTGACTTTTTTGGAATTAGGGTTGTAAGTTAGTATACTTTTTTTCCTATACCTTTTTTGCTGTTGATGTACATTGTTGTCCCTCAGTGTGATAGATAAAGGAGAAGCTGCTTACAGAAGTCAGAGACTACGATTGGGGGTGACACACCTTCAGAAGTCTTGGATAACAAATCAAAAAACACAACTGAATGCTTTGGAAAAGATTTTTGCATCCTTTTTGCTAAATTTAAATTTCAAAGGCACTCCAGATTCAGTTTGATCGACATCAGTGGCATTTATTTCCTTTTTGTACAAAATAATAGACTGTGTTAATGTCTCAACAATATTCTGTAACAATTATTATATTATATGTATAAAATTGATATTGTACAGACTTGAGACAAAGCTGAAGGATTTCTTTTGATAAACTGGGGTCGCCAAAGTTGGAAATGTTTAAAATCTACACACAGTGACTTTAAAGGGACAGTTCACCATGAGGATGCACGCTTCCTTCTGCTTGGTGATACGATTGGCAGGTGTAGTTCAGGAAAAAGAAAATAGTGGATTTAAAATGTGGTGGTGTAGGTCGTACCTCCGTGGAACTTGGATCATAGATGACAACAATAAAAGCAGTAACTCCTTTACAGCTCCACGTAGGCTAAAATAAAGCAGTTGAATTTAAAATAAATCAATTCCTACATTCAAAGAATCAGTTAAAAAAATTGCAGTACTTACGTGAATAATTATTTTTTCCACTCGTAGCAACAGGCTGTCTGTGTTGAATGCATACCTGCTGGTGTACCTGTGTGACCTCACAGTGTCCCTCTCTGGCTCCGTGCCCTCAGGTGTGTTTATGTTTGTGACAGCCGCCACTACCTGCTGCACCTCCTCGCCGGCTCTGTTTCACAAAAACCCCCCCCCCCCCCCCGACAAAAACCCAACCAGTGTTAAAAGCAGACTGTTGTGGTCTGTGCATTGTTTGTTAGTTTTTCAGTGATGACGTCGTCTGTTTACCTCTTTAAACCGCAGTCAGCTCCAGTGCTGCAATTGTTAATGTTTACTCAAGTGCCAAATAGTGATGAATCCCATGTGTCACCTCACAAGGATGGGTGTTTACCTCACCACAGCCATGTCTGTTTCAGTTCCGACCATAACAGAATCTGGAGATGTTGAAACCCTCGCGCTGGCAGTCTTTTTGACTCGTCTTGTTAGCGTCAGATCTTTTCACGGCACCATTAAAGGATAAATATATCTGCTAATAATCATAATGACATCTCTCAGGCTTCTTCTTGGTTTGTGGCTCAGTCTAGTCGAACACACTGCTAATACTGGCATATAAGAACACCACAGCAGCAGTCATTCAATGAATACATTATGATATATCTTCTTAAAGTGTAGGCGACTGTGTGTGTTTGGCTTCCCTGCGTTTATTACCACGATCAGAGGACGTGTGGGCTCAGTCAGGAACTTTTGAACCCCAGGTAAAGCAAATTCCCACATGTCAGAGATCTAGTTTTTTTCCTCTTATGTGACCGCACCCCATTTAGGCCCATGCACGTACTACAATTACTGCTCTGATGAAACAGGCTGCTGCACACAGAGCTGGAAGCCAGATCAAAGGGGATATGTAAATTTTTTTATTTGACCTCTCTCTGACCGTCAATACTATGGCCACCGGCGGTTCTGTGGGACAATGTTGTTAACTCTGAACTGCACGCCACATTATGTTGGAAAACATACACACATGCTGTATGCACGCTCACACATGGGCAATTAGTGCACGCGGTGCTTTTATCTGCAGCGCTGGGAGGGTTACTTATAAAACATATTCCACTACAGATTACTGAATACACGCCCTGGAAATGTAGTTTATATTCTAAATACTTTGGATTACTTAAAAATCATCTTGTAGAGCTCATTTGGCTTGGTCGTATATTTCCACGCCAAAAACACATTCCTGATGGTTCCCTGCATGCAAATCACTAAGAAATCACTGTTTAGTGTTGTGTTTGACCCAGGTGATTAGGTGTTTAAACTTCTGTCTCCTCCTCATTAGGCGTTGGCAGATGCCAGACGCTTGAGAGCATGTGATGAGATATTGATGGCTGCTACACTGTTTGTTTTCTCGCCGTCTTGTGGTGATGCTCGATTAAGCATTTCTTTTTTTCTTAGGGCGCTCTGATAACAAAATTAACATTCAGAGAAACACAAGACAAGATCAGGTCAGGTCAGGTCAGGTCACAGACACAAACCGAAGCACATAGTCTTAAAGATGATGGCATGATGTTTCTCTGATGGAATCTGATCAAGCACTGAGGTCTTTGCATGTCAGACATAGACATAACTGGCTGTCCCACTCAACAAGTAAGAGCTCTTGTATGTCTGTGGTGTCTCCACAGCATTTTTTACTTTAGTGACACTTTAATTACTAACGAATATTAAACTTACGGGCATAAAATTCACAGTCGATCATTTCAATACACTCGTAGCTTATGGTAGCTAATGTCAGCAAAGTCTAGATATCACTATTCACACTTCACTTCATCACTGTCACACTTATTGTGGTCCTTGTAATTCTGTTTTAGCTTTTGAAGCTTCTCCCAGTACTGTTTCCCATTTCCTTGCAGGAGATTTTTGCATACCCTTCATCATTTCGGGTCCAGCTCACCATTTCCAGTTCCCACTGAACTTTGTCCTCAGTATGCTCAATAAGGCCTGAACTTTTTCGTCTGTCCATCTGTAACTCCATGCTTATGTGTTAACGTGGAAGCAAACAGAACAAAAAACTGGTTTACAGCAGTAGACTTTGTAAAATGTTGGTTGATGCTGTCTCGTGAATCTTTGCTGTGAGCACTAAACCAATAAGGAATTTTCAGTGCTGCAAGCCCCAATCCCAAAGAATTACCTTACAATCAATGACTTTTTGGGGGATATAATAATGTCCCCAGAGCTTAATTCAGACTCTGGTCCATGCTGTCAAAATGCGATGAGTTCCTCAAAAGGTTCCTGCCGTCACAAAAGGACTTACGTCACTGACAGTAGGCATTTTCAGGCCGAACAGTTCTGGGGACTCCCTGAGAGGAACTGCTTACCAGAAAGCTCTTCCGAGAACTACGTACACTCAAGTGCTTTTTTCAGTTTGAATTGGCATCCCCAATAGGAACACTGAAGTGACGCACTGCTGGGTTGGTATATCAACATCACTTTTGTTTTGACAAGTCAAAATTGCATTTCCACCATCACATAAATACGACTTCATTTCGTTATGAGCCGTTGTTTGTGTTTCGTGTTGTCTATTGTTTACACGGCTAACTGTTTTTCAAATATTGCGGCTGCTGGTGCAGCTTTGGCTCGTGTATTTGATCAATGAAGGCACACTTACATCACTTACGGTTCCTCTTGTGCTGGGAGAGGACCCACTCCGAAGTACGAACTAAGAAAGTCCCTCAAAATGGAGTTCTAAGGACTACAATGGTTCCTAGTTCTTACAGTGTGGACAGAACAAAAAGGATGGTTCGTAGAACTATGAGAAGTTTCTGAGCTATTATTGAGTTAGTACACTAACCACCGAGCCAATGACTACATGACGCTTCTCTACTTGTTTTATAGTTTCACTATGTTTCAACATTTGCTGTCACTTGTGGCTACCTATTGTTTATAATGTTACATCAGCAACTTACCACATGACTACTTGTCTCTAAAATATTCTTTCAGCTTTACACTTCACTGTAAAATGACAGTGATTGAACGCAGCACACTCTCAGAGCCTGGTTTGAATACAAAACGTCCTTATTTGCATGTTGAGCTGATGCAACACCCGTCTCCCTTCATTCAGTGTTTCACCTTCTCTTTTCACTTAATTAAACAATCCTCCGCTGTTTCACTGGTTACATCCTCCAACGTAAGATAAAGGTTTAGATTACCAGTGCTGCAGCCTTCAGCTTCCTTCTAACACACTTTTTAGGCAGTGTGTGGCTTCAGAAGTCAGGTGGAGAAGTGACAGGAGGAGGTGGGGAGGTGTACTTTGGTCTGAGGCTCAGTGCGTCACTGCCACCTAGTGATGGGTTGAGACACTAAATGAAGAAGTATGGTTTTCTATAACCACGAGTGATGTTCTCTGTTGCTGAACGCCGTTTTGTCCTTTACTGAGATCACACGCAGTATAAGAATATCATAAAAACTGTCCTTGCTGTCTGTATATTTTATTTCTAACTGTTGTCCCTCCTGTGTCGTCTCCTGCAGGCTCGCATGGCGTTGGACAAAGGAGCACAGGCTGTTATCTTTGATGTCAGTGATGATGCCAATGCTGCTGCTGAGGTGAGAGTGCAGACACAGCTACATTTACAGCTATATTTATTCATAAAATATGAAAGACAGAAAAGCACACAGAAATGTCACACTCATAATTCTGTGATTACCACCCCGTGTGCAAAACACACACAGCTGAGAGAAACAGACTCCCTTCCCCGACCGGTCGTGCTGGTGGAGGCGGAGGATGCTGAGGAGTTGATGGGTTTGGTCAACAAGAACGAGGAGGCCAAAGTTCGCATTGAGATCATGGTGGAGCAGCCTAAATGGGTAAGCACTGAAACATACACACACCTGTGACTTTCCTATCATTGGCTAGAGGTTGTGTGAAAGTGTGTCTCACAACATTACGGAAAGGATCCCTACAGAGATAGAGCTTTTCGTTAAAGCATTAGATCTTTTTGTTTTACTAAAAACAGCCCCAAAATTGCTATCACCAAACCCACCAGACTCCATTTAAATAAACTGTAATTTTAGCATGTATAGAGTCAGCATATTGTCACATCTAACTGAGTGAATTAAGGGTTTATTTTAGCCAAGCCAGAGCTGGTGATTGTTGAAACAATTGAAAGATGAATGGATAAGATTTTTGTGAGTTTTATGTACGTTTTGTCAACTTTGAATGAATTGTGTTTTACGATGATAAAATTAATGTTTATTTGAATGGAGTCTGGTGGGTTTGGCGATGAAGATTTTGGGGCTTTTTCTGGTGAAACAAAAAGGTCTATTTCTGTAGGGATCCTCTCTTTAATGTTGTCAGACACTTAAATCACACTACGATCTGAGTGTGGCCGTACACTGACAGCGTGAACGGCTACCAACTGCAGCAATCTCACCAAATACTGGACCATTTTCAAAAGTGGTTGTTTCCATTTGTTTCTTACACACACATAAACATGGGAGAAAAAAGGGTCTATGATGAAAATTACTGAAGTCACCCCTTAAGATATCTTGGAGTGGTCTCTGATTTAATACAAACATTATTTTGCTCTCTTTCCATCTTCTGTTCCCTTTTCAGCCACATTATGATGTGGGTATCCTGCTCACCATTGTCTTAGTTATTCTAACCATCGTCCTAATCTTCGCTTTCCGCTACAAGTGCAAGTCCAACAGGACCTGGGTGAGTGTTAACCTTACAGCGACATGGGTGTCAGTGCATTGTCTTCTTTTTGGATCCACAGCTCAGCTGGAGATCTTTCAAAGGTTTTTCTAACCCTCGCTTCTTGTGCATGCAGGACTCTGTCCATCAGCAGACCATGCGGGCCATCAGTCGATTGGAGACCAAAACCTACAGCTCCCAAGGCTGCTCGGGCTCTCAGCGCCACCGTGCAGCCTGGGGGTCAGCGAGTAGCTCCAACTCGAGCCCCGTCTGTGCTATCTGCCTGGAGGATTTCCAGGACGGACAAGTAAGAGGAGAAAGAGTGAGGAACACAGTGTATCTGTAGATGTAACTGTCCTCGTCTCAAATCTACCTCTGTCTCACTTTTATACCAGCATCTGAGGATCATCTCCTGTGCTCATGAGTTCCACAAAGACTGCGTTGACCCCTGGCTACTACAACATCGCACCTGTCCCCTCTGCATGCACAACATCATGGGTGAGTAAAGGCATATTTCCAGTTGAGTTTTGGTAAAGAAGGAATCTTAAAATGGATATGAAGTTTAGTTTAGACTCTCTTTTCCATGCTTTGACTGATATCTGCAATGCTGTCAATAGAGGACTTTTCGTCAATTTGAAATTTTAGATCTTGAATTTAAATTCACATCGATTTTTTAACCCCTTCTTGAATCTGCTGTGATAGACGTTACTGTTACCCTGCAATGTCGTGTGTGTTCTGACTGCTGTTGTGGCCCACAGGGACAGAGCGGCAGCCTCAGAGGAACAGACTCCAGCAGAGTCCGGAGCAAAGCCAGAGTTTCCTGCACCCTCAGCCTTACAGCAGCCCACGCAACCACCCCTTCCCCCAGCATGCCATCCCCTTCTCTATGAGGCCCCATTATCCTCGTGGACCCTCAGGACCCTATCCCTCTCTGGGCCACTACACTGGCTCTTCTCCCATGGACGCCCAAACTCTACGTTTCCTCACCAGCAGGCCCCTTACGTCCGGTTGTGGATACCATCTTCCTGCAGAGGGTCCTGGGAGGCCCCACAGGATTGGAGGTAACTGCAGGACTTCCACGCACCACTACACACCTCGTCGGTCCTGCCACAACTATCGCTCGTCCTGTCCGGCCCAGCGCAGTGCATCCAGCTCAAGACTGCACCACACTGCCTCTGCCACACCACAGAACCGTGGAGCGCCGGCTCATAGCCGGCAAGACGATGGCAGCTGCTCGGGTGGCAGCTACCACACAGAGCGCAGCGGATACTTGGCAGACGGGCCAGCGAGCGACTCCAGCTCAGGGCCATGTCATGGCTCCTCCAGCGACTCAGTTCTCAACTGTACTGATGTGTCCTTGCAGGGGGTTTATGGCAGCTGGTCCACCTTCCGTAGCTCTCTGAGCAGTGACTACGATCCGTTTGGTTGTTATGGGCCAGGTCCTGGGCGTGCCCCTCGCAGGAACAGCTTAGAGGCAGGCGCCCAGGCCCGGCCCAGGTCTTTGGATTCTGTGGTAAATAAAGCAGGCTGTGCTGAAGAGCAGCCGCAGACTGTGTTCAGCCACATCCACTACCACCGCCACAGACACCACCACTATGAGGAGGGGGAGCACAGCCAGGGCCCGAGCAGAGGCTCAGACGAGGAGCAGGGAGCCACTGCTGCTGCTGCAGCTGCACCTGCTGCTCTCGTCCTGGACAAAGACTCACCTGCCTGCCCTCCGAAGCACACCCTCTGCCAGTGCACAAAGCCAGACCCCACAGATCGGCCCAGTCCGGGGGCAGAGTGTCAGGACCACGACCCCAACAGCCCTACAGGACCTCCTGTCCTGGTATCCCCAATCCCTTTACAGCTTCAATCCCACTGCTGCCACCAGGGACACGCACATCCTCCTACTACTCTTGGGCGAGTGGGTGGCTGTGTGCTTGATGGCCCCGCTGTTCGCTTCCATCAGAGCTTAGATCTGCAGGATGACCGAAGCATCCACATCCACTATGGTCAGGGCCCGGGCTTCTGCTGCTCTCCTCCTGAGCTGCACCCTGCCTTGCTCCCCGTGCCCCTCATTCTGGACTCTGGAGGTATGGAGGACTGGCCTTGCTATGCCGGGGCCCACGTTGTGTGGCAAAAGCGGGTGCAGCAGGCCCGCTCAGAGCCTCAGCTCTTGGGGCCGGGGACATCTATGGACAGGCCACCCTGCAGGTTCCACCACGGCCCTGCTGCTGACCGCAACACAGACATTTGTTTGTACTGCCAAACATTACATCACAATCAGGGTGGGTGCCTCCTTTGTTTACCTTTAATAACATGGCCAGGTCATTGGCCTTAAAGTACAACTTTGGGTTATTATTTTCATAGTTTTGGGCATCATTTCTATTAGTTGTGATAATGATTACTCACCAAAATACTGGTAAGCTGTTGGAACACGGCGACATCACTACAGCAAAGTCAGACTGGGCAAGAAACAAGCAGTCAGATGATCTGTAAAGGAAACAAGCCAATGGTTTAGCTACATTTTCTGAATTGCTTTCTTTGGACATTACTCACCTAAGTGCTATATTGTGGTTTCTTAAAGACGTTTCGCCTCTCACCCAAGACGCTTCTTCAGTTCTGAAGAGGAACAGAAGAACAGAACTGAAGAAGCATTTTGGGTGAGAGGCGAAACATCTTCAAGAAACTCAAGCAAGTCTAGTTGCTAACGATGTAGCACTTAGGATGACCATGACCTGGATAACTGAGATCCTTCACCAACATATCAATTACTCACATTTTTTCCTTATCGTACTTTGAAGGTAACTTGAGCTGTTTTTGTGTCCGCAGGATCAGAAGAGGAGTCTGGTGTGTGAGAACTTGTTGCATCCCCATTATCACGCTGCTACACAGGAGCCAGAATGGACAAGCCTCTCATTGGCTATCGCTCTCATGTCTTCCGCATAATTCCACCAGCAATGCCTTTCGTGCAGACGATTCCCCAGCTTCCCCCACGAGTTACAGCTCACACGCTGATATGCTCTCTCAGCTGAGTGTGATTGAATTTACCTTGATTATATAAAGCTAAACTTTTTATTGAATTTATGATGAATGATTTAAATGTTTGGGAGTTGCTGGGGAAACGACTCATACGCCACAAAGGGGGGAAAGTGTTTTTCTGTGTTTTCCTCGTCAGTTATAGGAAGAATATTCATCACCGACATGATATCACAAGTTCCCATGCTCCTTAGTGACAACTAACGAATGATCCTTGCTTAGGGTGTTGAGCCCTCATGAAGTGAGACTCTGTCTTTGCGTCGCTCACTCTGTTGCAGAATAACTTGATTTATCTTGGAGGTACTTTACTCTGCATGATCTTGGCCTTCCTTCGCTGAGTCCAGTCTCAGCTCAGAGAAGCTTTTCTCTCCAGCCTACCTCAGCTCAGATTTCTTAACATGCCTCACACAGGGGGTCTTTAAAGGTACTGCTGTAGTGATTTTTTTTTTGTTTTGTTTTGTTTTTTTTTGTTTTGTTTTGTTTTTTTTGGTCACAACCATGTAGCTCCCATAAACTCAACAACTCAAACATTTTCCTCTTGGCAGTCTGACCTGTCCAAACGGAGAGAAAGGTTGATGCTCAGCCCCTCAAACAACGAGCATTCACTGAGGTTGCTGAGCCTTGCATGGGCCTTGTTTTCACTATTTCAATAATGGCAGCTGTTTTCAACATGTTTGTATTTTGGATCATTTTCTTTTCTTGTTTTTTTTTTGTTTTTTTTTGGTAGTCTGTAATTTTATTTTTTTTTTAACTTTTCAAAATGAACCAGTTTGACTGAATTATGTTGTCGTCATACAAGCTATTGACTTGTTCTTGTCATTTCTCTTGCCAGTGGTTACTTCATGTATTTGACCTCAATGCTGTTAAACCCCCTAATCAGTGCATAGTGAACAGCCTCATCAGAGGGATGACACCATATGCTCTGCTCCTTTTAAAGAATACCTCACTCCACAGATGACCATTTGTATATCAATTACTCACGCCGTATTACGTTATATTCGTGAGGAAAGCGTTGTTTTTCTCGCATTCCTCCACGGTGAACAAAGAATCCAAAAACTGAGGAAATTCTCGATGAATTGAAGTCATGGGGTCCACGTTTAATAACAGCAAAACTATATCAAAACATTTGTGTACAAACTCTCACACAACTTGTGCGGTATAATCCAAGTCTCATTTATGGAGTCGTACAATCAGCACTTCCCAAACAGGCAGCCCCTTTCAGATGGGAAACTGAACTGAAACTAAAACTTATCTATGCTCTCTTCAATCCAGACTCCATTGAAAAAAACAGTAATTTTACCTCGCTGAAAACATGAGCTACTGGTCTACCACTGCCTCGATCAGTTAGTTTGTGTTATTGTGTGACTGTGGTGAATCAAATCTAACCCCTTAAAACACAAACTAAATAACTGATGGAGGCAGTGGTAGACCAGCAGCTGCTGTATTCAGCAAGGTAAAATCACTGTTGTCATCAATGGAGTCTGGCTTTGAAGAGAGCGGATGTTTTGAAGTTTTGCTGTTGCTGTTACCTTCACAAATTTGAATGTGACACCTGGTGAGTAATTGATATACAAACAGTTATTTGAGGGGTGAGGTATTCCTTTTAAAGCTTAGTTCATCACAATTTTGTATTATCCCCTAAAAAGGATATACCTTCCTGTTGGCTTCCAGCGACTAAAGCTCTAGAGGAATATTCTACATTGCAGCCATAGAAAAGAGATAGTGACTATTTAATTATATAACTGGAGTAAAGCCATGCTAGGTAGACCTTACAGTCCCAAGCATCAGCTCAGTCTGTTGCCGTAGCACCAGTTCAATGAAAGCTCGGTGTGCTGTTCCCATGATTTCAAACTGTAATGGGCGGAGCCTGAGAAATGTCTCAGGAACAATCAAACACTGGAAAAATGGGAAGAATTCATTTACCTTAGTTACAGTAATGCTACCTGAGTTGGTAAATGATCCTTTGTCGTGGTAAATGAGCACTGTCAATCCCTGCTTTAAAGAAAGGATCCACCGTAAAGGGACAGTTCAACCCAAAATCAAAAATACATATGTTTCTTCTTACCTGTAGTGCTGTTTATCAGTCTAGATTGTTTGGGTGTGAGTTGCTGAGTTTTGGAGACACCGGCCAAAGAGATGGCACTCAGCTTGTGGTGCTCAAAGCACAAAAAAAAAAAACAAAAAAAAAACAGCACTGTCTCTTTCCAGAAATCATGACCTTGTTACTCAAGATAATCCACAGACCTTGTTGTGAGCAGTTTCATGTAGGAACTACTTTCTTTCTACGGAACAGATAGCGTGCATCTCCTCATGGTCGAGAGGCTCATGCTGGTGACAGCACCAGATGTTTAAACACATTAAAGGGATCGTCCTCGGTCATACTTGCCAAACCTTCTGTTTTACCTGGGATACTTATTTTTCATCGCCCTCTCCCACTTTTCTCCTGGGGTCACAATTCTGGCACTGCACAACATGTATAAACCCAATGACTTTAAAAGTAGACTGTTTCCTACCTGTTGGTGCTTCCCTCTCTTTCTCCATCCTGTTCCAACCCTCCAGCCCAGCATGAGTAGGGCACAGCTGCTGGTGAAGACGTCGTCTCTGTGCCGAAGCGTGCGTAAAACGACAGGACGCTCCATCTGGATTTGAGGAGTGCCTTGGGGGTTGGGGGTACCCAGCTGTCTTGTAGAGACTCAGGGGTGTGTGGGCCATGGAGGATAGCCGGATGAGGACCCTTGCATGGGCCAAGCCTACAGCCTGGCCACCCTCCCTCCCTCCCTCCTCCAGGTACTCTGCTGGAGTACGGGGGTAATAATCCAAAAACTAAACAAAATTTAATGTATTCAACATAAAAATTCTGATGCAGTCTACTTTTTTAAACTTGTTTTTATTCTTTAAAAGTCACCAGAACGCATGAAGCAAAGTTTATGAAACAAAAAAATTCCTCTTTCAAAATCCTCCCTATTTTTGAGGTCTGTGACATTAGCTAGCTTGGTGGTGCTAGGTGAGCTAGCAGTAGATGCATGCTTTCTTCTGCGTGTCCATACACCTAGCAGGTGTAGAAAGAAATTACTTCCTCCACAAAACATTTCACAACAAGGTCTGTGGATTATCTTGAGTAACCAGGTCATGATTTCTGGAAAGAGACATTGCTGTTGAGTATTTCAAATGTATTTTTCACAAGCTGAGCGCCATGTAGTTTGATTATATTGGAGAGAAGGCAGACCAATACCTCCAACACTGGGCAACTCACACCACAACAACCTAGATTGATAAATAGCACTACAGGTAAGAGGAAAATAGGTAAGGGGGGGATCAAAAACATTTTTTAATTCAGATAAAAGTAAAAAATTATAACCAACTCCCAAAACTACAAACAACAGAATCAAGATTTTTTATTTCCTCTTCTCCCAAGTAGCCACTCTGGCAGACTGATGGACAGAAAATGTCTTTATATCCCAGCAAAACTCTGAACTCTTCAGACTGTGTAGATAAAAGTCAAAGATGGCTCTCTTATTTCCATACTTGTCTAAATAATCAGAGATTGGAGGTACAGGAATTCTGTTAGAGCGTTGACTTTCCCTTAAAGGCTCAGTGAAAATGTGAAAGGACAGACTTCAGATACAGTTTAACAGCAGACAAAGAGCTTGTGGGTATTGCAATGTAACCAGTAGCACTTACTAAAGCCTCATATGTGCCTTATTCATTCAAACTGTTCATCATCCTAAATCAGGAATGTCCCAACACACTAAGCTCTTACCTGTCGAACCAAAGAGGTAAAAATCTTGAACACAGTGGACTTATAACATAAGATGTGTTGTGCCCTTTTTCCTGCTTCAAATCTTTTCTCAAATCTCAGAATGAAATGCGCTTTCAATAACAAGAGAGAGAACAGAGAGAATTGAAGTGGAAAAAATTTTGGAGTCAATATTTTTTGGACAATCATGCAGAAATGTTCAGCCGCAGTCCCTTCCTTTGTGCCAATACCTCACTTTGAATGTGTCACCGCGGCGTCCATCAGCTAAAGTGTCAGGGTTTCCTCGTCTGTTCATGCCCCAAACAGTCTCAGAGACTGAGGTGGAAATGACTGAATTACAAGCAGCACTTTGGCTTGAGCAGATTTTATATTTAAAAAAAAAACAACAAAAAATCCATAGTATTAATTGAAAAAAAAACAAAAACCCAAAACCATCAGCACATGAAAAATAGCATTTAGCGATGCTGCAGAATATCTGATGTGATTACATCCTGTTCAAGATCTTTCTCTTTGTGTTGTTTATGTGTTTGTTTTGTTTTTGCAAGAATAATGAGCTGAAACTGCCTTTTCTATGAGTAAAAAAAAAAAAATCCCTCCAGAACTTCAAGGGATATGTCAGTATATTTTGGATATTTTGTGTACAAAAAGAGAACAAAAAAACAAAACCGAAAAAAAAAAAAAACAGAAATGAAATAGTGTTGTATTTTATATATAATAGAACATTTCAATATAGTGACATGTCACTAATATATTTATTTACTAATATATTTATCCATTTTGTCCAGGTTTGAAAGAGTGGTTTCTGTATAGACTGAATGTTTCTATATGGAAACTGACCAGTGCCATCACAGATGTATCAACCTGCCTTCATTCCAATTATATGCAAATAAATTATTTTGAAATAAAACCTGTGCCGAATACTTTCTTTCTGCAGGAGAGTCCAGTTCATGTTGTTTTTTTGTGTGATTTAGGGGGACAAATGGGGAAACAAAATAAAATATAGTAAGTATGTTTACTTTAGGGTGTAATCACCTGAAAATAAGAATCACTGTTTTTTTGTTTTTTGTTACCTTAGAATGAGCCGTTTATGTCTACACAATGAGTGGGTCCTCATCAAGGACATCGCCATGTTCACTGCCGTGTTTCTACAGTAGCCCAGAACAGACAAAGCAAACACTGGCTCTAGAAAGGACTATTTGCGTTTTCGCGTCAGTCACCATAGTTGGCAGTCCCTTTGGGCCAAGAGCATTGAAAAACCCTTTTGCTGTGTCTCAAATCGCGTACTTCTGTACTTACACTTATTATTTTGAGTGCATAAGTGCATTCACACTGAGAAGTTTGGAAAAATGCAGTGCACTATGAGTACTGGGATGGTGCACTCAAAACAGTCAAGAAGTTGAGTGTGGAATATGGACACTTCTCGCCTTCAATGGTCGCCATCTTGGCTACGTAGCCGAAGGGGAGGGACCACTTTTCAAACTGGAAATGGCGGCCGAGGACTGTGCGACTGTGAACGTCGCTGCATTGTACAAATACATGTGTTTTTTGCACTAAGCTCCTCTATACTGTTGTCTGTTATAAGCCATCTGTTTGTTTTTTGGTTTAATTTAGCAGTCTGTTATGTTTTGTTACCTCTAACTATAACGCAAATGCTAATGCTAGTTTGCTAACTAGCTAATTTGCGGTCGTCATTTCCACTGAGTGCCCAACGGCCGTGTTTATGTATACTACATGCAAGTGTACTGACGGAAGTATGTGATTTGAGACACAGCATTGTTCTTTAATTGCATGTAGCATACAGCAAAATTTGTCATCCCTGATTAAGAAGTGTATTCTTTCACGCATGCATGCACACACATTAAAAGAAACAGTGTATAGTAGCCTAAAAAGTATAAAATGTAAGTGCTGAAAACAGAGCCACCTCCACCTCCTCTCCCCCTATTGTCACTGGCCGCAGCTCTTCTTGATGTCGTCTGAAGTCTGTAATTAGCTCCTTTGTCTTCTTGATGTTAAGAGACAGGTTGTTGTCTGCACACCACACAGTCAGATCACCATGTCTGTTTGCTCTGAAGAGGAAGAGACCTCTGCGGATAATTTAACTCCCAGTGAAAACCTCTTGAATGTCTTGATCTCAAGTTATCAGTCAGTGTGAAACATTACAAACGTTTGTGTTTTCTCTAACTGGGAGACGTTTCAGCTGGTTTCAGTCATCATGTAATCATGCAATCCTCACCTCTAGATCCCCCAACCTAAGGGATCCATTGGTACCAATCATGTCATGCTAGCTTGTCGAGAACGAAGCTAAACAACGCAACTGAAACATACATCACTGTATCAATTACGTA